ACAAAACTCTAAAAACAAAAAGTGTTTCTCTTTAGGCGATTCTCAAAACCCTAGCATTTTGTTTTCTGATTTGCATCGATCTTCGTAATTGTGTTTGATTTTGGTTCGTTTTTTTTGGGAATTTTGTAAAATTGCGTTGAAGAGTGAGGAATTGAGATCGGAAAAAATGGAGGAAAGAGGGTTTATATCACCTTCATTGACCGTATCGGCTTCTTATCGAGAAGGAGGAGGAGGAAGCAAGGGCTTGTCGCGACGGAAGTCGATGAGGCCGAGCTTTGACGCCGCCGATAACGAGTTTATAACTTTACTCCATGGCTCGGATCCCGTAAGAATTGAGTTAAATCGGCTTGAGAACGAAGTTAGAGGTACGAGGTTGAGATCTGTTGATGATGATTGACTTGTGAATTTGAAATTGGCTTTGGTTTCCAGTGCATGATTGTCATTCTTGTTGACTTGGTTTTGCAGATAAGGATCGGGAATTATCTGAAGCACAAGCAGAAATCAAAGCATTGAAGTTGTCTGAACGGCAAAGAGAGAAGGCTGTTGAAGAGGTTGATCTTCCATTACATAAAAGCTCTCAACTTATTGAACTTAATGTGGCACTATGATGTTTCTGTATATAGAAGATGGAGTAGTCATGTAGCTTGGGTTTAGGTTGTTTGGAACAAGTTTCTCTAGTTAATCATCTGTATTGCTTGTCTGTGATCTTACCATCCTCCAGGCTTATTAGATATGATGACTTGTAATCAATTTGGTTCTTACTATTATATTTTTATAGATTATATAACACGACTTCAAGTGTTTTTTTAGTATGTTCTATAATGCTTTACACTCTCTGTATACTGACCTCTATGCTGTCTAATTTGAGTGATGTAGCTCACCGAAGAGTTGGGAAAGATGGCGGGAAAACTCAAACTGATTGAAAACCTTCTTGAGAGTAAAGTATGCTTGCTGATATCTCCTTTGTTCTTTGGTTCCTTTCTTTCTCGATTCTGTTTTTTAACGGTGGTGTTTGTTGTCACAGAACCTTGAAATCAAGAAAATAAACGAAGAAAAGAAGGCTTCCATGGCAGCTCAGTTTGCAGCAGAAGCGTCTCTTCGTAGGGTTCATGCTGCTCAAAAGGATGATGATATGCCTCCAATTGAAGCAATTCTTGCCCCGTTAGAGGCTGAACTGAAGCTTGCGAGACAAGAAGTATTTTCCTTCCTTTGAACCAGAAATATCTCTGTCTAGCTGGATTCAACAAGTTCTGGGACATTCAAACAGCCTTCTCATCTGGTTTTGCATTATTTCATTGGTAGATTGCTAAACTTCAAGACGACAACAAATCGTTGGACCGCCTTACCAAATCAAAGGAAGCAGCTTTGCTTGATGCTGAAAGGACAGTTCAGTCTGCATTGGCAAAAGCTTCAATGGTTGATGATCTCCAGAATAAGAACCAAGAATTGATGAAACAAATAGAAATTTGTCAGGTATGCCTATCATTTCTTTTCTATTCACTGAAGCAGCCAATTAGAGAATCTATTCCCTTGTGTTACTGCAGTGTTGCCTTATTTGTCTTTACATTTGTTAAATTAGGAAGAGAATAAAATTTTAGACAAGATGCACAGACAGAAGGTGGCAGAAGTTGAAAAGCTTATGCAGAGTGTGCGGGAGTTAGAAGAAGCGGTTCTTGCTGGTGGTGCAGCCGCAAATGCAGTGAGAGATTACCAGAGGAAATTTCAAGAAATGAATGTAATAACTCATACATAGTGCCACAGTCACTGTTTTTCTCCTTAGTTAACATTTTGGTCTCGTAACTGTTGTGTTTGGTCTTTTCCTTAGGAAGAGAGAAAAATTCTTGAACGGGAACTGGCACGTGCTAAGGTTAATGCAAACAGAGTTGCTACTGTAGTAGCAAACGAATGGAAAGATTCTAACGACCAAGTGATGCCTGTAAGGCAGTGGCTCGAAGAACGGAGGTTTCTGCAGGTCTTGTTTTTTATTTACCTCTCTTGCTGCTTCTAGTTGTGATTCATATATATGGCGGTTAACTAGTCTAAAACTATTGCCGTCTGCTATTTCTGTCTGGACAGGGAGAAATGCAACAACTACGTGACAAACTTGCCATAGCTGACCGAGCTGCAAAATCTGAAGCTCAGCTGAAGGTAGAATCATAGCTCTAGGACATCTACTCTTTTTTGTTTCTGTTATTGTATGAACTTCATCTGGCATTACTGATTTTACCCTTTTTAGGAGAAATTTCTGCTGCGGCTTAAAGTGTTAGAAGAGAGTTTAAAGAGGCCTGCAAGCAGCAGCAACAGAGGCATGCCTGGTGGTAGAAGTTCAAGCAATGGGCCTTCTCGAAGACAATCCCTTGGTGGAGCAAATACAAGTCCAACATCTACATCAAACGGCATTTTGAATAAGAGAACACCAAGTTCTCAGTTGAGATCATTGACTACTAGTGCGAGCACTGTATTGAAGCATGCTAAAGGAACATCAAGATCATTCGATGGGGGTACCAGATCGTTGGATAGAAGCAAAGTGATAACAAATGGACCGGGATCGAAGTTTCCTTTGAGCCACCAGTCTACTGAAGGAACTAGCAGAGGCGAATCGCCTAGCTCAATAAAAGAAGAAGAATCAGATGACAAGTCAACAAATAACGATAGCGTCCCTGGTGTCTTATACGATTTGCTGCAGAAAGAGGTCATAAGATTAAGAAAAGCTGCTCATGAGAAAGATCAAAGCCTAAGAGACAAGGACGAAGCTATTGAGGTTCGCTAGTGTTTGGCCTTTTTCCATTCTTTGCAGCCTTCAGATTAATGTTCTATAATGAAGTCGTAAATATTTGGGTTGTGTGTGCTTTAGATGTTGGCCAAGAAGGTTGAAACGTTAACAAAGGCGATGGAAGTTGAGGCAAAGAAGATGCGAAGAGAAGTAGCTGTAATGGGTAAAGAAGTTGCGGCCATGCGTGTGGATAAAGGACAACAAGATAGCAAAAACAGACGTCTCTCGATCTCAAAGGGATCTTCAAACACTGCTCAACTTCTTTCTGGAAGGTATCATATCATATACAATGAGCTTTATCTTGCATTATCTTCAAATGTCGTTATTCTTTACACATTTGATCTTTTGTAGAGTGTTTGGGCGAACTGGGATGACGAGGAGCACACCGTGACAAAACTGATTCCACTTATGGTTCTTGTGCCAAATTGAGGGAAAGGGTTTAGAAGAGAAAATTATGTAAAGGATAAGAAGCAGATTCGATGCGGTGTATGCTTCTTCTCTAAAGCATACTAACATTTGAAGGTAAAGGGAGAAATTAACTTCACTTGGCTAATATATTTCTTGGTGATTTCTTCTTATTTTGTTGTGTTATGTATAGAAGGAGATGTAGGTTTTTGTATTTTTGTAACGTTTTAAGCTTTTTAGTGTGTGATTGTTTTGTTTCTCCACTTATTCTCATATACTTTGGTTACCTAATTTTTCTTCTTTTAATATAATAAAGTATCAAACTCAAAATCTGAACAAAATAGAAATTGGCACTACCAAACGAACGTTAAACCACAAAAATCGTACCGTACCGGCTCCGTATCATTGACCGGAACCGCGTATCGCGACGTGGGATTTTCTAATATTTTCACTATTACCCCAAAAATATTCGATATTTATATAAGTAGTCCTACTTTTTTGGGTTTGAAATTGTTTTTCCCATTACCGTTTTCTGCTCCATTAGTTTCTTTCCTCTTTTTTCCCCAGATTCATCGATCTCCCCTACCGCCTCT